AACCATCTTGCTACAGCTCTTACATCAGTCCATATCAGTGACCCAGCTCATCCCTAGATTCTAACTTCTGTGCAAACCCTGCATGTAACCAATAAGCTTGCCAGAGTGTGGCATTGTAAGTAAATGTGAAAAGCTAGAAGGAACGATTTACTTCTGTAAGTATTAGGTTTAAAAGTCCTGCCTGGAAGAACAGAATTAAAGCTTTTATGCTTACCAGTGAGACTTATTCATGCTAATGAAATACGGGAGGAGTTCTTAAGGGTTATAGTCTGAACTGCTTTCTGTCCTCTACAAGCACGAGGATCTGCACTTACAGGCTGTGGCACAGTGCTGCTATATGCTCACTGGAATGATGCCTTTAGTTTCATCACTGTCAATCTATACCAGAACAGGTTGCAGTTCAGTTTTGCCCAATACAGAGAGGGGCTGGTCTGTGCAACACTGAGTAAATGAAGTTGACTGTGGCCTGTAATATTCAAAGTGCTTTGGTGATGCGTACAAGATGCAGATGAGCCTACTTTTTTGAAATAAAAAATATTTTACTATTGAAGAATGATAGAGCAGGCAAACAAAGGAACTGGTTGTTATTTGAAATTGTGTTCTATGCATGCCATTTTAATACGCAGTGGGATATAACGGTTGGTGGTTTGCTCTTATTTCACCCAAAATAAATGAGTGCATGAATAACCAAAGCGATTAAGCTAGTTTCCAGTGCTAGCCTTTCACAGCCTCAACAGGGCAGACAGAATGGAGCTCCCCACAAACCCTGCACCCTGACAGCCCAACAACGTGGTGCTGCACACTGGTCACAGCCCTGCCTCTGGGAGCCAGGGTGATGCTGAGGGAAGGCAGTGAGGGTTCTGCCACAGGGTCCTACCTCTGGTTAGGCCACACCAGCCACCAATGACAGGGGCACTGGCACAGGCCCATACGGAAGGTATGGGCACAGCAGGGTTGACAATCCCACCATATTTATTAGTGGTAAGCTCCAGGAAATGTTCCACATAGCCCTCATAGTTTTCTGGCTTCAGACTTAAATGCATACACACACACACACACTCACACCATCCCTTCTTAAGTTTCCTTTGAGGTTTCAGTACACCACTCTTTTACCCTTTGGAACTGCTTCTCCCCACAGCCTCAGCAGTCTGATAACTTGCACCATCCATAGTCACCAGCTACATGTCCTGGGAAAAGCATGTTTTGTTACCACCCGGATGACACACGGCCATACAATGCGATGTACAGTATCAACCAAGTGGTTTCCCCAAAGTTATCACTGATCTAAATGATAAAGACTTCATTACTTGTTGCCCAATCCCACAAAAAGCTCTGTTTCCCAGGTTCAATGAATTATCACCCTCTTTGAAGCCTGCAGCTACACTTAAGACTAACAAAAAAAAGATCTCAGATGCCCTGCTGCATAAAAAGACAACTGGCTGAAAAAAAAGGAACAAAATTCTAACCAGAAGCTTCTCAAGTAGCTGGAGAGAGGTACTAGATCTGTGAACTCTGCAAAAAAAAGAGAAGTTCCATGTGGAACTGGAATTATATATACTTGAACGTGTGTGTAGATACATATACTTGTACATGTACATTTTTGTGTGTTTACATTTATTTTACGTGAGATCCAGGTTTTAAGTACGCAAGGAGAATACGTGATGTATTCTTGTGTTTTTTCACCCTGTACTCTGTTGTCCAGATGTAAGCTGTGAAACACATCCAAGTTCCTTAGAAAGGGAAGTGTTGATCCAGATCAGACTGAGCTGTTGCAGTTATCACTCCATTGAAAATGAACAACAAATTCAAATAACAGACTGTGATTGATTCTGGATCTTTCTGTTTTTTGTGTCTTTATTTTTTTTTCTCTAGTTCCCACCCCCACAGTCTCACAGTCTCTCCCTCTTCCCTGCTTACCTTAAAGTTATGATGCTCTTTACTATAATAATGAATGGAATTCTCAGATTATTGTTTTAGAGGCTTAGCTGATTCTCAGTGTTTTTCTATGTGCTTACCACTTATACAAAGCAGCTTTTTCACGTGTCTTTCAGCCTGTACAGCAATAGGCTTGGAGTCAGTATTCTTTTTAATACTTCCAACATATAGTTACATTTACTGTGAAAGTTTTTTTTCTCTCTGATTGTACTTTTGCATCCCTTTGTGTGCAGTTGCACTACACACCCATCTATGAACTTGGGCCTGCTGCCAACAAACAGAACAGCTCCTCCTTAATTTTTTGTATTAAAACAAAATATATAACCTGAACATTGTTCAGTATACTAATCTCTAAATGCATGTTGTCTGTTGGAAACTGGCTTCCCCTCAGCATGTTATTCATTTCTAGGTAATCTCAGCTAAGAATCTTCTAGTGCTGTGACTATGGCCAGCTTTATGTTACATATTTTCCTCAGTGCAAATGTGTAGCTACTTAATGCCTATTCTTTACTTCTCTGTAAATGCTATATGGACAGAAATCATTGAGTCACCAGATCACACGTTTATTTTCATTATATATTATGCTCTTTGATGTCATGTTGACATCTAATTGATGTTGTTTTTGCTTTTTTTTTTTTTTTTGGTCTTTGTTTTGTTTCTTGGTTTCAATAAAAAGAGAATTTA